CACAAGGCCAGAAGCCTCCTTCCGGGGCCGGGGGGCCTCCGGCGCCCCTACCGGAGCCGTTTCATCCCGGGGAGGCGGGCGATCGGCGCGGCGCGGGACGCGGCACGCACCCGGCGAGCGCCCGGGGAGCGGGACTGGCTCTAAAGACATTTTGGGGGAAATTGATGGGAGCTAAACCGTGGAATGCGGCTCGCTTCCCCCCATCTTGCTGGCTTGGCTGGGCAGCCTGGAAAATGGTAAATGATCATTTGGATCAATTACAGGCTTTTAGCTGTGTTGTCTGTCATAATTCATGATTCTGGTCTGGGAAAAAGACCAACAGCCTACGTGCCAAAAAAGGGGCAGAGTTTGATGGAGTTGGGTGTACTTTTATGTGCCATTTTCCTCCACACCTAGAGGAAAGCACTTTTGCAGGCATTCTGTGCAGGGGGAATCATGTTTGACTGTATGGATGTTCTAGCAGTGAGCCCTGCTCAGATGCTGGATTTCTACACTGCGAGTCCGTCTTCCTGCATGCTCCAGGAGAAGGCTCTCAAAGCATGCTTCAGTGGATTGGCACAAACAGAGTGGCAACACCGGCACAGTGCTCAATGTAGGTCCCAACTGTTATTTTTCCACTTTAAAGCAATTATTATTATTATTATTAATTATTTGCATGTATTTTAAAAAAATACTTGTAATTAAGCGCAGGGGTAATGAGGGGTGGGGGGAGCTTTTGTGCAAAATGCGGTTTGCAAGCTATTTTTCTCCTTTTGGCAAGAAAGGAAAAAGGAAAGAAGCACCGGGCTGCTTTCTGTTTATCCCTTCTCATGTAGCATATTGATCCTAACAACGATTGTGGAGCCAAGCAGGAACACATAAAATTATAATATAACACAGCAAATACTTGCAAAACTCCAACCAGTAAAGGACGAATTTACATGTCATCTCTGTGGTAGTTTTTTTAGTTTGCCTCCTTAATCTAATTTTGTAGCACGTTTGATAATCTGGATGCATGTTGTCTCGAAGTGCATTTTAGCAGAGCAGCCAAGCAATTAAAATGCTGCTCTGTACGGTTCTTGCAAAGACGTGGAATTGCAGTGGGTAGGTGCCATTCCAAAAATCAGACAGTAGTTTTAAGTTTCCTAAGAAAAGGCAATATTTCTTTGTACTGACCTTGCTGCCACCTTTCTTCTTCACTTTGTTGCTCTAAGAAGTTGCTGTTTTGCTAGAAAACTACTTACTGTGAACACCCTTTGAGTTTAACCATCAATTATTTCTATACCTTGAGATTCGGGCAGCGTTGCACTGCTAACGGAGGAGGGAGAGTTAGTGGTAGGACGCTCCTGAAAAATGTATTATTATGTTATAGGGCTTTGATTTGTTGCTGAAATACATAATGGTAAATAATGGCAGTATTTTAACACCACAGTTTCAAGTTTGAGAAATGACAAAAAGTGCCAGAAAGCATCACCTTATACTCTGCATAAAAGCTTGCAGGATGCTTCACTGCTCTGACAGTGATTTAGATAAATGACTTGGCTATCTATCAAAATGTTTTTAGCACGCTCTCGGGCACTTCAGTACACTATTAACCATATAATTCTGTTTGAAATTTTTGTTTTGCGTATGCTAAAAAGTTACCTAGGAATTAGAACTGTTTTCCCTTCAATACGGTTTATCTCAAGGGGGTGGAGGGGGAATTGAAAAATAAATTAAAAAATGTTTGGTGAAATAGTGTGTTTTTCACTCCGCTCAAAAGTTTTCAGTCACCATATGACGTTTTGTGTGGGTTGAGTAATGAAAACAGAATTGTAAAAATCAGTGACTACCAGCCTACAACACTGCAAATGTTTTGATGTCTTTACAATTAAAATTAGACTGTGAAGTTCAGCATGGGATGTTTATTTTCTCTGCGCTGTTTTCAAAATGCTTCAAACAAGATATGAAACAAAGCTTAAACTTCAAAATAATGTTACTAGCTATGGGAGAGCTTCAGTTGGGGGGGGGGAACCCCAAAAGAGATGTTTTACTAAAAATGTGTTTTCCTCCTTCCATGTTTTAAACTTTAGTATAACTTCAGCAGTGATATTGCGGAAACTTGGAATTAAATAAACTTTCCTGGAGTAGGAGGCATGTGCTGTCGTTAAAAGCTTGCATTCGCAAAGTATTCTTTAAATAACTTCTGGTTTAAAAATGTCCTGCTCATTCTCTTGTATGTTGTTAATACCTAGAAGCAAGATTCTTAAAAACAAAATATATGGTGTTTGTTCTTGGGCAAGTTAAACACAGGATTACCCTTATCAGAATGGAATGAGTGGTAAATATGTCATTTGCCTAGGGCCTGTGATAAGAGACGAGTGTTGGTAACAGCAAAGTTTAGCTAATCAAAGAAACTCATATTAACAAGAGTAAATAAAAAATACAGGCAAATGCATTCAGGAATCCAGTCTTGTAACTTTGTAAGCAATAGGATTAATCTTTACTGCATGGGAATTTAAAATCAGGCCGAAACCTGAATCATAATATGGTGGTTGTAATTTGAACTGTAAAAGTTAATGGTAGAGAAATGTGGAAAAGCAATTTAGTTAGGGTCCAAATGAAGAATTCTGTTTGATTTCTAGAGCAAGTTTTGTTTTTAATTTTGAAGAAAGTGTAAACACTTCATGTGTGTGGGTAAATATATGTAAATGGATTATGAAACACTAAAATTCTCTCAACATGTAAGATTTTACCTTGCATCTCTTGAAAATAATGACAAAACCAGAATTTTTGTGGTCCAGAAAGCTTTTAATGGTTTAAATGTTGCTCCCGTGCTTATAAATACAAAGATAGCAATGTTTGATTCTGATTCACATGTTTCCTGATTCCCTGTTTTTAGGAAGACCTCTGTGATTTAATGGAATGTAATCGTAGCCAAATTTCGAAATTATTAGACGTGTAATAGCGAGGGGTTTTGGACTAGTTTGTTGTTTTATTTTTGGCTCTGCCGTAAAAGCGGTACACCTGCAGCCATTGCTTTAGGCCTTAGAAATATTGCTTTGATAGAGACGTGATTGTAGAGTAAAAGGTAAATGGTTGTTGAGGGACTAATACATGGATAGTGCAGGCTCTGAACAGGCCAGTAACAATCCCAGGCAGCATCAGGGTTTTGACTGAAACACTGGCAAAACTGGCCATTGCAGGGGTTAGGGCAGAATGCTGTAGGTCTCCAACTTCAGTACATCTTCAGTATGTTAATCCCGTTACGATTCACTAAGCAAGTACACTCCTGCAGCATCGCAAATTTTCTAGTCCACGAGGGTCTGCAAAGTAAAAATAGAGGGTAAGGCGCAACCCAAACATGACCTTAACTTGTGTGGTATTTTTTTCCTCCCTCCCTGTGGGAGGAAAAACCTGCTATGGGTTGCAACCCAAACGTTAGCCACTGTATATTGCAAGATGTGTTACAAGTACACAAAAAAAAACCTGATCTTGCACTCATATGTGTTTATGTTTTATGTGATATTAGTTATATTGTTATAGGTTTAAAAAGGAAGTATTTATCTGCAAAGAAAATTACGGACTCAGAAATGAGAGCAGAACCGACTGCGCTTTTAATCATGAGTCATTCTCACTCCTTTTCTCATAAGGTAAAAATCAGGTCAGTATAATCGAATTAGATGAGAATAGTTCTTAAGAGGACAAAAGAGGTAAGATTGCAAGAATGACTAATTTATACTTTTTTAAGTACGGTAGAATTTTCTGCTCCCTTGTAATGCAGCGACAACAAACTGAGAGAAAACAAGTAACTTTTGGTGAAACGTGAGCTAACTGAATACTGTGGAAGTGGGAATGGGACAGGCCGTGAGAGAGAAAGAGCTGCAAGGAATGGCAATTTTCCTTTGGTCTTGTAAAAGCCTATTAAAAAAATCTTCTTTAGGCGTCATTAATTAAATGGGCAAAAAAAACAAATGAGCAGGCCCAAAACAAGAGTAAGTTTGTTTGGCAGTATGTAGTGTTTCAGCTAATTATATCGAGTAGAAGACTACTGCCTACCGCATTTTGTTAGGTTTAGAAGAACAAGAAATTTGATGAAGGCAAAAGTTATGGATATGGTAGCAGAATGTAATAGGATGTCGAGGCTCTTGTAGTATACAGTTCTTGTTTCAGTTTGGTGGGAAGTGTTTGCCCAGAGAGGATCTAGCAGGTATTAACTTTCAGAAAGTTCGTGAAGATGGAACTCCAGAAGGCATGCGTTTTCCTTCTGAATTCCAGATTATTGCGATGTTTGGGTCAGGTTCTCGTTCCCTGCAAGCACTGGAAATACTGGAAACATCTGTGCTCAACAGAAAAAAGCTCAGTACTTTATTTTCTTTCATCTTTCTGAATTTAAAAACAAACATTTTGAAGTGAAGGACTTGTAATCTGCATTCCCAAGTATCAAATTGCTGCAGGTGTGTTTGCTAGTGCCCAGAAGGCAAGATCTGTTTGAACCAGGTTATTTTCTTTAAAGTTCGTCTATAAACTTTACAGCTAAATCACTAGGACTGATTTGCTTAGGGACACAGTCTTTGTTTAAATTTTTATACTTGTAGCTTAATGCCCTGAAATATGTGATGAAAAGTGTTTGTTTCTGATCCCCTTCATTCAAAAAAAAAAAAAAATTGCACGAGGATATTTTTCTTCAAATTAATTGAAATGAGAACTGTTCTCTACGTAGACTCTGATACAGTTAGCCTGATTCAGCTGCTGGCACAGGAAAACTCTAATGGACACGCACCGCTGTCAAAAACTCCTACAGACAAAAATGATGAGAGGCGTTCGCTGGTGAAGTCAGGGTGGGATAAGCTTGGAGGAAAAGCGGTGTATCTTTGGGTGACTCCCTGCTTGCCTAATGAGCCTGTGCAGCAAAGGTGCAACTTGTCAGAACAAAGCCAGGCTGGCGCGGCGCTGCCTCGAAGAGGGTTACGGCAAAGTTAAGGAGTTGAAAGAGAGAGATAATGTTTCAGACAGCGAAGTTAGTCATCCTCACATCCAGTTAAATCCTCACTTACTGCTGAGCTGTCTTCGTTAACCATGTGTGCGTCACGCCTGCACCGCAGCCCGGCCGAGCTAAGGGGCTTTGCTCGGGGGTGCACGGGGAGCGAGGCGCCCCAGTCGGCGGATTATGCTTCCACCTCCCCTAAACGCCCCAAGTGACTGTTTTTGCTCAGGTCTAATTTATACACCGCCCTTTACGCAGCCGATGAACTGCGGCTGTGTTACCCAGCCAGCATTTAGATTTGGGAGCGGGGTTGTGAAAGGGACATTGTGCTCAGGAGGACTGCTGTCTGCCACGGTCGGCCGCGCCATGCCCCATCCTATTGAGACCTCAAAAGCAGAGCACAGCTGCGATGAGTTTCCAGATCTGTTTGGCCGTGGGGACCGGCGCTGGTATGCGTGCGAGCAGGGGGGAACATCCCTCTCCCCCTTGCAGTTTCTGCCTAGGGGGCTGGCAGCAGCCTCTGAGCAGCGAATTTACAGGGGCGGGCGGCTGGGGCCAAATTAGTTGTGGTTTCGGAGGGCTTTCCAGAGCTTCGCTAGGCTGTAGCACGCAGCCCCATGAGGAAGGATATCAGTTGATGTATAAAA